AGTATCTTGATTTCCATCATCATTTTGGAGAAAATGAGGAGAAAATCAAATCATTTTGTGAAAAAAGGATGTTGTAATGTCCACATCAAACTTCAGGTGAAATTTCTGAATAACCAAAGTGAGATGCAAACAGCATTTTGATTCTAAAATGATCCTTGTATCAAGCTAACAGAACACCATAAACAGCTTCTGAATTGAGCTTCCAGTTTTACTAGAAATTAAACTTAAAGGTGCAAACATTGTGGACATTACGTAATGTCCACAACAGTTTGAAAATTTATTTTGAAGAAGAGATCATGTATTTCTGAGATTTTTCTTTGACAGTTGAAAGGTACAGGTAATAGCCATAATTTCATGGAAAAATGAATGCCTTACTCCCCTTAGCAGAATTTTAATTACAGGGTTAAAAATTGTAGGTGGAATTTTGTAGCGACATAATTTTAACAATTCCAATCAATATAGTTATCAAGCTTTCAAAATCCATTAAATCTACTAATATATTCCCAAAAATAAAAATATGATTTTTTCAGTGTCTCATGTAGAATTGCCCATATGTAGACATACTACCATACATAAAATTATGTGTATAAATAAGGTGTATATGCTACTGTTATTCCTTGTCAAACCTTTACTTTGTGTGACATTGTATTCCAAAACAAGTGAAATTGTAACATGAAAGTGCCATGAGAGTAAATATTGTGAAATCTCTTTTCTGTGAAAACATCACAGATGACAACAAACCTAAGGTTCCACATTTTGTCTTCAAATCTTCAGATCAGGATTTTTCATAACTAGGCCATTAGGAAGGTATCTTAAAAAGCAAATCAATTCGTCAACAAAACCATACCTGTCGCTACCCTCATCTCCTAGTTTGGTGAGTTCCGCAGCCTCGGCTTCTAGTCTCGTCCTCTCCTCATCAACCTCCATGACACACTCTAGAGCTGTCTTATCTGAGGCTTCCATCTCATTCTTCAGATGAAATATGTCAATGTGCGGAGGAATTGGAATGTCTCTGTTTCCTATCGTCTCCAACATGGTGGATTTACCTGCTCACAATACCAATATTTTATTCATGTAGTTCCTAGACACCTAAACACTAGCTATTGATAGATTACCCTTAACAGCCTAACATCAGTATCCAGATCTTTGTACGCATCTCTACCAATTTCTGATGAGGAAAATTAGCTTAACAATCGAAGCTTCTTAGGGTTGGTGATCATTTCCTTTATTCTCATGACTTAAATGAATGACTCATCAGTGTAACATTCAGGAGAAATTAGATGCTGATCATTCTTAAGCTAGGTTTAAAGGGGTTGCTTACAAGGATTACCAATATTGTACACTTAAGTAAGTTCTCTTGCTTGTTTATGGCTAAACTTAACATGAAAATGTGTAAAGTTTTGGAGTCAAATGAAAATTAAAAATGGTTTTTCTTTCAAATGTTGATTTATAAAATGTATAAAAATTTCACGAAAAAGAATGCACCCTTTAAGGGTACTTTTATAACCATTAATCGCTGATCATCTCCAGTTTATTCCACGATTAATTTTGCATGTAAAATATTCATCACTCCAGCGTGTCCTTTCTTGATCTAGTGCTTCTGGCGAAAAGTAAACTACCGACTTTGTGTTGGATTAGAAAAGCTGTTACATGGTTCGGCGGAAAAACGACTGTTCTTAAGCAACAAGGGACTTCCTAAGAGAGAATTTTCTCACTGTACACTGTGCAAGTAGTTAAGACCTTGATCAAAAGGTTGTGGACATTACAAAAAATCAACCAATAATTNAGATTACCTAAAACTATGTGAAACTATAGGAACTAACTCTTCGAGAAAACCGTCACTTTTACGTTTTTTTTTAAGCAAGGAACATTGAGAACTTACCGCATCCATTTAGTCCCAAGAAACCGTATCTTCGGCCACAATTCAGCTCAAGTTTTGTATCAGTTAAAAGTTCAACACCGTGGAAAGTAATCGAGAAATTTTCAATCTTTACATCCCGCGACTGTTCGTGCGATGCCAAAACGCCGGTACACGAGCGATTCGACAGATCCAACTTCACGCCGGCGCCATTTTCAGTTCCGTTCGAACTTTCAACACCATTTTCTGTCGCTTGACCGGCCGGTTTTGGCTTCCCTCTAGACTGAGCAGCAGCCTTCTTCTTTGCTTGACGTTTCTTCGCCGCTTCAGAGGGCATATTTGAGTGTTTCGATTAAAAATTATTGAAGAAAATGTTAGTTATTAGTTCATACGAGTGCAAACAAAAAATCCTTACGATTGCGCCATCGAAGACAACATGTGCATCGTAATCTTGTTTCCAGCCCCTCTCAGCCATTTCTGAAAGAGAGAGTCTGGGTTTGATACCCCACTCGCCGCCATGTTTCCATGACTACTTGCCAAAATTGAGAGATTTCAAAATGGCGGTGGCTCGGGCCAGAACGATGGTTTCGGATAGTTTTGACAGTTTTGTGGCACCTGTTATCAAAAAACCAGTGCCTAATCATCTTTTAGAAACAAGTAAGTGTATCATGTATTGAAATGCAGCGATCGAAATCTCCTTTACGTGAATCTTTGAAGATTTTTCTTCGTAAATCTAAACGTTTGCTTCGTTTCGCAGAAATCTATGCCAAAGTTGGACAGAACTCTATTTTGCAAGCCAAACCGTCAGTTATTAATTTTTCCGGATTCAAAGTTGGAGAAAAGATTACCCCAACACTAGTGAGTACATTTGAATCATAGTCTGGTGAAATAAACGTACAGCTCTAAAATTCTCAAACCCAATCTACACCTCCTCGGTGTAAAAACCTGACGAGGTTTTCTTTGTTTCATGAGGTATTGTTTTGCTGTACGCTATTGTTTATAAAGTTTTGTTGTCTTTGTTTTACGTCACTCGTGAGCTTCACAGGTTTTTACACCGAAGATGAGCCAAACAATACCCATCTTTGTTTACAGGCTATTATGACGTCAAATATTTTGTTCTATAGACATTAAAATCTGTTGACTGGAAATTTAGAGCATAATTTCAGGAAAGTAGTTGTTGAAATTCTCTATTTCACTCTGACGTTCCTTGATCGTGGCATTTGTTGTGTACTAAAGCATTATTCAGATGTGACGTGGGTTTATCCTTGATTCTTGATGACCCCAATTTTAACTGTATAGAGTCAAAAACACACATAACATGACAGTTTATCCAGCTATTTTTCAGGTGAATTCATGAATAAAAAAGTTATCCATTGAAAATACAGAAATGTTTATTCTAAAAACTATTTATGGTGTATATGTGAACATGTATATTATATAAATGTGATTGCGGTTGTTTTTCTTTTTAAATCTCAGAGATTAGCAAATGCTTCTGATGAAAGCCAAAGAATGCATATAATTCCACCATCTACAAAGTTCTTTTATATCAAATATACAAAGAAGGTAATTTTACAGTAACTATTGCAACTGCAAAATGCCAAGTACTGTTTACCCTGTGCCTTTTCTGACACAGTTGATAGTGCAACTTGGTCACCATTACGAGGACGTGCCAAATTTAGCTGGCATCTTGAGCGTTGACCCTTTTCTCTGACGAAGGACTTATATGCAAAAACGTCCACTGTCAAACTCTTTACGGTGGCAAATTTACATTTTTATTAACTCATTTGATAATACCAAAATTACTTTAATTGTTTTCCCACTGATACAGCACCACAGTTTCTTTAGAAATTTACCTCAGTCTTTAAAAGTATGCACTTTTCTCACACAATTTTTGTATTTGTAAGTGGTTACTTCA